AAAAAAAAAAAAAAAGCCAAAACCCATTGGTATGCTGCATCCAGACCCATCTCACATGCAACACAAAGACTCAAAACAAAGGGATGGAGATTTACCAACCAAATGGGGAGCAAAAATAAATAAATAAATAAATAAAAAGCAGGAGTTGCAATTTTTGCCTCTGATAAAATAGATTTTAAAGCAACAAAGATCAAAAGAAGCAAAGAAGGATATTACATAATGATAAAAGGATCAATGCAACAAGAAGAGCTAAAGATCCTAAATATATACGCACCCAATACAGGAACACCCAGATATATAAGACTTATAAAGAGACTTAGACTCCCACACAATAATAGTGGGAGACTTCAACATCAATATTAGACAGATCAATGAGACAGAAAATTAATGATATCCAGGATTTGAACTCAGATCCGGAACAAGTAAATTTAATAAACATTTATAGAACTCTCCACTTTAAATACACAAAATACACACTCTTGTCAGTACCACATCACACCTATTTACAGGTTTAAATGAAATATTGGTTGGCTGCTTGTTTGTTATTTTCTTCCCTCATTTTTTTTTTCATGTCTCATACCCATTTTTAGACTGCATTCTAGCCCGGGCAACAAAGCAACACCCCTGTTCTCTCTCCCTTTTCCTTTTCCTTTTTCTTCCTCTCTTTCTTTCTCTTTTTTCTTTTTTTAAAAAAAGAAGATGACTTCTAGTTATAATAGTTACCTAGCTGCAGTCATTCATGTATTAGTTAAAAGGATATCTAACATTGTTGAGTACTTGTTTGTACCACATCCACTGCCAAATTGCTAAGATTACAGGAATGATTTCCTGTAATTTCCTAACAGCCTTATGAAATGGGTGTTGTTTTGCTACCTTTTGCAGTTAGGTTAATTGAGGCCACAGGGGCTAAGTGACTTCTAGAGGACAAGAGGTGAGGGTTGGTGGGAGGAAAAGCAGGTTTTAATCAGAGAGCCAGCAAAGAGAGAAGATGGTGAACTAGTGTTCTAAAGTACCACCTTAAAATTTAAAATTTACCATAGGGTTTTTAAGGGGGAAATGTATGGGAGCCATGTGGGAGTGGTGCAGGATGCAGGGTCTGTGTGTCTTGTTTCAATGGCTACCTTGGGTAATTACCTGTTTGGAGGTCTGGTTGGCATTACCTTGACTTCAGCTCAACAGTAGTGGAGAAATTGTTTGCGACTCCCCCTAAGCATGAGGATTCTGCAGTTGGGGCTCTGCACCTGGCTTGTTTCAAGATGAACTTCTGGAATATTTTAACCAAGAAAATGATTAGATAAACATGCATTGCCAGAGGAAAATTTCTGGAGAGGGAAGGAATGAAGGGGTAAGAGGGGAGGGAAAGAAAGTGAGTGATTAAGAAATATTTTAAAAGCTGAGGTTCTGGGGTGCAATTACAGAGGCAGCCTTTGGAGGAGCTAGGATTGGCAAGCAGTACAGCTAAGTCCAGGCAGAAAGGCACTTACAGTGAGATCTCAGAGGGCATAACTTTGATTGTTAGTGCCGGGGAATTCTTTGGTGCTTCTTTACCAGCTATGAGAAACAAGGCCATGGGACTTTTCACTGCAAAAAAAAATTTATTTTCATGAGGAGAAAGATTTTTATAACCACAAGGGCAATGAATTTCCTGGGTTCTAGTGAGGCAGGATGGTAATGCCCCCGCCTGGGCCCGGCTCAGCCTGGTGCCCTGGGCCCGCCTATGTTACAGCTCATTCAGACCCATCGCTTCAGGGCTTGCCCAGCCTGGCTGCTGCTTCCCATCGCCAGCAGGCGGAAGGCCACAGCGTTACAGCCTTTTTTGTACCCGCATTTGGCGGATCCCGAGTTCTTGTCCTGCATCCAAGAAGAATGAGGTTATGCTGACAACTGAAGAGTGAGAAGGACAGAGAATGGAACACTGAGGAATGGAACAGCTCTCAGTAGAGGGGGGACTCGAAGAGAGTAGACTGTCACCCTAAGGCAAGTAGTCCTCCTCCCCCGAAGGCGGGTAAGAAAAAGGCTGTAACACTGTGTACCCACCCTCCACCGGTGGAGGGCAGCCACCCCACGTGAGGGGAAGTAGTAGCAGGGCCAGGCCACCCCGGGGGGCCGTGGGCTGGAGGGAGGCAATGGGACTAAAAGAGCTGTTAGCATGCTGTAACACCCCCTCTGGGGCTTGGAGTTGCTGGCATCCCTGCTTGTGTGTCACTATGTTGCCCCGATCCAGACACCATTGCTCAAGGTGGAAGCAGGTCGTGGCATGGTCAGCCCAGCTGTGGGCTGAGTGCAGATCCCACCACAAGCACTGGATCTGGGTGGGAGCGTAAGCCAAGAGCACCTGGTTCAGTTAGTTGGGCAGGGTGCCTCCTGCAGTGAGCCCAGGGCCTGAGCAGGGGTGTCGCCTGCCTCAGAGGTTTCTGGCTGGCTAAGCCGCTGAGAAAATGAAAATCCTGCATCACTAAAATATTTTACTTAATAACAACATTTTGGCTAGGTGCGGTGGCTCACGACCGTAATCCCAGCACTTTGGGAGCCTCAGGTGGGTGGATCACCTGAGGTCAGGGTTCAAGACCCGCCTGGCCAACATGGTGAAACCCTGTCTCTACTAAAAAATACAAAAATTAGCTGGATGTGCAGGCACCTGTAGTCCCAGCTACTTGGGAGGCTGAGGAGGTTGAGGCAGGAGAATTGCTTGAACCTGGGCAGCAGAGGTTGCAGTGAGCCGAGATCACGCCATTGCACTTCAGCCTGGGCGACAGAGTGAGACTCCATCTTAAAAAAAAACAAAAAAACACCCCAGCATTTTGTGACAAACACTATATTCAATATATACAGCAATTGTAAGATGCGTTACTATTTCAGAAATGTAAGCATATGGAAACCGTGCATCTTGGAATTGAGGAAATTCTATATATCAACAGAAAGTATCTGAGCGGAGGTGGTGGATATGTAAGAGTAGCTTTTTATCTCCATTTGACAGAGGGAAAAGAACTGGCCAGAGAGGGTTCCTAGGTAGGCATAGGTATCTGGGTTTCATTATGTAGGTGAATATTTATTTTTTTAAAAAAGCAGTATGTGAAAAGGCAAAATCAGAATATCTGAATATCTTAGTATTTTTATATTTCTATACATCACTCCCACTTGAAGGCCTTCTTGCCTTACATAATAATGCAATGATATTCGCTGTGGTTGCGAAGGTGTATTTAAGAATTTCCCTTCCCAAAAAGAAAAGAAGAGCAGGACTGAACTCCTTGCCAATCTGCTTAGTGGGATTATCCCACACAGTACAAAGAGTGTTTCCCTCCCATATGGTAGAATTTAAGACATTAATTCCAACAAGGTTGTTGTTTGCTTGCTTCTTAATGAGTAAAACACTTAAAAAGACAATAGGTTGGATCTTGTTCCAACACAAATGCCTGTAATTATAGGAGGACTTAGGAGGCTCCTAGGGATTTGTAATGTGAACTCTGGTTCTTGTTCGTTTGCCAAGGCTTAGGTCAACCTGTCAACCTTACAATTCTGTATACTCGACTCTTGTCTGGCAAGCATAATGGAGGGAAACAGCATGAATAATTACAGAATAACCTGTATTGTGTGATATATTTGTACTGTCACACCTATGAGTGCAGGTGGTTCTCATGTTATATGAAGTCTTAGCTTCCTATTCAGCTCCTTGTGTCTTACCCATATTGGAGATAAATTACGGCAGACCTGTCAGGCTTTGCTGTTAAAACGTGTGCTCTGAATGAAGAGACCCCGCCAAACAGGCTTTGTGTGAGGAACAAGGCTGTTTATTCACCCGGGTGCAAGTGTTCTGAGTCCAAAGAGAGAGTCAGCAGAGGGCAATGGGATGGGAGTTGGTTTTATAGGTTTGGGGTAAGCAGTGGAAAATTACAGATGTTATGGTTTAGGGTGGATTTTGCAAAGTGGGAGGGGATTGTAGGGTCTGGAGTCATGAGGTTGACCAAGGTTAGTTATAAAGTCCAATTGCCGCCGGGCGCGGTGGCTCAAGCCTGTAATCCCAGCACTTTGGGAGGCCGAGGCGGGTGGATCACGAGGTCAAGAGATCGAGACCATCCTGGTCAACATGGTGAAACCCC